CATCTATAAAGAAGTTGGAGACACAGATTGGTCATATAGCCTAACAACTCGCAGAACGTCCACATGGATTATTACCAAGCAATACAATGACAAATCCTAAAGAGCAAGTGATGGCAATAAGAGTAGTGGAAAACGATCCACCTAGGGCTCCTATAAAGATTAAAGCATATGTACCTCCACTTCCTTCCCCCAAAGACTTCGAAAGAAGTCGATGGAAGAAAATATTCATTCTATAACTACAACAAATGGGATACAATTATCAGAGATTACTGCGAAACGACCAGAAAGAAAAAAGGACGAGGAAGATATTGATAAAACTATAATGGAGGAAAAATCTGCACCTGCCTCAATGGAGAATGAAGAAAGTACAAAAGCATCCACTGCCAAGGCACCAAGTCTAGTTAGAGCTTACGTGCCTCTCATTCCTTTTCTTCAAAGGCTCAAGAAGAACAAATAAGACACAAAATTTGAAAATTTTCTTGATGTTCACAAGAAGCTCCAAATCAATATTCCGTTGATTGATGCGATATTACAAATTCCAAGTTACACAAAAATTTTGAAAGAGATGTTAACAAAGAAAAGAAAGTTTCCAGAGTTTGAAATTGTTGCATTGACGGAGGAAAGTAGTGCAAAATAACATGCCTCCCAAGTTAAAAGATCTAGTGAATTTTACTTCGCGTATTTCAATTGGAAATTTTTGTGCTATTAATGCATTGTGTGACAGGTGCTAGTATAAATCTAATATCATATTCTATTTATAGAAAATTGGGAATGGGTGAAGTTAAATCAACATCAATAAAGTTAAAACTAGTTTATACAACAATTTCAAAACCACGTGGTAAAGTTGAGGATGTGCTCATAAAAGCAGGAAATTTAATATTTTCGATAGACTTCATTGTGCTAGATATACCAGAAGATCAAGGCATTCCAATTATATTGGGTGTGCCATTCTTAGCAACGGGGTCGAACTCTAATTGACATGGAGAATGGTGACCTAATATTGAGGGTGGAGGACAAGCAAGAGATATTTAATATTTATACCCGACTTGAGAAACCTTCCAACAACAATCATTGCTGTAGAATTGACGAAGAAGAGCCACCTGATCAACGAAACGATCAAAATAGACAATCAAATTTCGGTGGACTTCTATGTAGAATTGACTAAGAAGAGCTACCAGATCAACGAAACTGTTAGAATATAAAATCAAATTTCGATGCACTTCTTGATATAGATGAAAATGGAAATATCAAAATATGGAGAGCAAAAAAAGGGGTGCATAACAAAATGCAATGATGGCATAACTTGGTTCGAGCTACCATGATCAAACATAGCACAAAGTCAAGCTAATGACGTTAAAGAAATGCTTCTTGGGAGGCAACCCAAACTTTTTTTCCTTTTTATATATTCTGTTTTTGAGTTTTAGAATAGTTTGAATTTATAAGTTTATTTGGGACTCACTATCCATACCCCATTTCCTTTTATATTTTCGATATGTTAGTTGATTTATTAGATGTTAGATTTAATCAACACTTGTTCCCATTATTTCAGCTTAATGCTTTATTTGATTTTTCAGGAACATGATGTCGCGGAACATTTGAACCAATATTGATCAAGAAGTCAACGAGAGCAATAGAAAATTTAGCCATTGAATTACATGACTTATCATGAGAGTTTTTTCTTCACATTCTCATCAACCCGTTTATATGCGGATTTAGAATTAAAGATATTGAGGACAATATCTAGTTTAAATTTAGGGGTGGAAAATATGAGTTTTCATTTTTTATGTGTTTTTGTGTGCTTTTATTGTTTTAGTAAAAAAATAAAAATAAAAAATCTCTTTGTGTGCTTGTGTGAATAGTTGGTTAAGCTGGCAATGAAGAATATATTGAATCATGAATTGATATGGATGGTGAATAAGTTGCATACTTAGATTAATTTTTGTTTTTTCATGTAAATTTTGAGATATATTGAGCACGTGAATTAAATTAAGCATTGTATATGAATGAATTGATTTCATAATTGAATAGGTTGAAATAGTGGACTAATCAAGGCATTAAAAAAATTATTAAAAAATTTCTTTTCATAGCCTTTATGATTTGAGCAATTAAGCTTGCAAGAGTTTTTAAAACCTGGTCCCTTATGGTCATCTGACTGAGAGTTATCGGTGAAAGCTTGTTACATGGGTCATTTAAAAAATTTAAGGGGGAGAATGTTTCAAATAAAGAAAAAAATTACTCATATTATGAAAAAAAAATCAGAAAAAACAAGTGCATGAAACATAAGATGCATCAAATGCCTTGATTAATTCTCAAACAATTCTTTAACAAAATTTGACTTTTGATAAAAGATTGTTAGCCTAGTTAAGTCCTAAAATTTGAAGCAATCAAACTTAATGGAGAATCCGTGTTTATTGAAATGTTGAACTGCAATTGATAAAATTTTACCAAATTAGAGAGGTGAGGATAGTAAAAAAAATCCAAGGGTTCACACACTAGAAAAAGAGTAAGAAGAATAAGTTTGGAGTGTGTGAATCTTACGAGTGATGAAAGAAAATATTTAAACTATTGAGGGTCGTGATTTTAAATAACTTACGAATTCATAATGTTATGTTTAATTTTTCACACATACACACACACACACACACGTCGATTTTATATTGGAAAAGTGGATTTTAAGTTCTTTTATTGTGATTTTGAAGCTATGTATAGATTTGTTATTATGATTTCAATCTCGAGATAAAAAGTCAGGTTAGCTAGCTAAATCTTGTTGTTTTACTTGATTGGCTGGCCACCAATTATGTAATTAGCATTGCGTGTTTGTGTGTTTGTTGAGTTTTAATTTTGTTTGAGGACAAACAAAGATTCAAGTTTGGGAGTGTGATAAGTGTAGTTTATACACTTATTCGTGACCTTAAATTATGATATTTTATTGTCTTTTTGATTAAATTCTACCTAATTTATGTTATATTGTGTTTTGTAAGTAAAACTTTATTTTTAATGAAGAATCGGAGAAAAGAATGTAAAAGTGACAAAAAATGGCAAAATCCAAAGATGATTTCCTTCGAGAGAAATTATATATTAAATGAGTTGGAGTTAAACGGGTCTCAATAGACTTGTATTGAAAATTTTAATTGGAAGCCAAAATTAAACACACACACACACACACACAGATGGAAGGGAGAACATAAAAGAAACACGAAAAAAAAAAAATATTTGGGATTTTGAATTTCAATTCGATTTCAGTGCATGGATCATGTACACGTGCAATTAGTGGGGTTGTTGCTAAACGTGAATTTGAGCTAGAGTGATATTTTTGAGCACCATTAGTAAAAGTGAGAATTTTTGGTGCATTTTCAAATATTGTGACATCTATGAAAATATTTCTATAAATAATTTCTATATTAATTAACAGTTTACTGGTCCACTAAAAAAAAATTTAAACTTGTATACAAATGTCCTAATCTTACTTCTTAAAAAACGTGGGACTCACCACAGGTTCCCAATGTGCGGCAGACCATTCTTCACCTTACCTGTATATCTTATTGAAAGAAATTACCATTTTTTTTTTTTTGGTGGAAATTTGTTTTGTAGAAGATATAAATTATTATTTTTTTCTCTAAAAACCTCTAAATCCAGCTACTATGAGAAAACTGAAACTTTTGAATTAATTATGCCAAATAATTTAAAGAATCAAAATTTCTTATTTTCCTACAAAAATTTAAAGATTTTTTCAATTAAATTTTATTCATTACTTTTTTCCATTTGTGGATATATTTTATAAAAGATATTTAAGATGATACAAGATATTATGGTATTTCATATTATTTATAATTTTCATATATTGATGTATCATATTTTAATGTCTTAAACAGATATATTTCAGATAATACGACTTATAGTAAAAAATTCTTTCAAAATATTTAATTTTATAGATTTTATATAATAAAAATGTTTAGTCAATTAATTATGCCGTACGTAAAATAAATAAATCAAAAGTGCTTATCTATGCTGGCTGCCAAATAGTCAATGAGTCATGCTAGTGGTACATCGGGGTATACATCACGGTGTACACCCCCTCACATGGGTAAGGGGCCCACTCGAATATTTTATTCGAGTAGACCCCTCCATGTGAGGGGATGTAGATCTTTATGTACACTTTTTGATGTACAATTAGTATTTTTCATAGTCAATAATGTTATAGTACTTCTTTTGTTGACAGTCAAACAATCAGCTTTTTGATAATATTTCATTTTGAAAAATTCTACGACTAAAATTCATTTTATTTTACTTATGTGGCAAAATGTTTTTTACAATCCACAATAGATGATCTCACGAATGAGTTGGAAGATTGGAGATAAATTTCAAGAAACATTGAAGACTTGTATCATATTCGAATTTCTAAATGAAAGTTGATGTAATTGTTTAATTATTTTTTATATAAAGGAAATTATTATGGACGACTTTACCCTTTAATTCTAATGACATGAGTGTCATGAGATTAATGTTCAAATAAAAATGCTTGTTAGGTGAGCACAAAATTTTCGAACATTTAGAAAATGAATGTAATAATTGGTAGGATCGGAACATGAGTGCCTACTAACAAAAAAGTTGAACATCACTTTCTTTGAATATTAAGTGGAATTCTTATATGGGATGAACACTGAATGGAAAACAAAGAATCTTCAACATTAGAATTTATTTCACAAAGTAGTGATGACACCGACCGTAAATACCACAACGTGAAGAAATTATCTATATCAATGCCGTGCTAAACATTTTCTTGGAGGTCCCATACAAGGAAATGTGCCACTGCCACACAAACACTAATGGCCAGCGTAATTCTGTATAAAGTCATTTTCACGTGGAAAATATTGGAGCAGGAACTAACATGCATGTGTTGCACCCTATATAAATCCCATAATCAATTCTTAATTTTTTCAAACAAACGTCTTCTAATTAATAGGCATAGCTCTTTATCTAAAAATACATTTCTCTCTGCCATGGCAGTCTACAACAGCTCCTCGTCTTTACCCAGCTATTGTTTTAATATTCATAAAAAAATTGCAGATAATGGAGATATTAGACCATCTCTTGTTGCGTGCAGAGCTACTCCTCAGAAGTGGACCATTCTTGAAGAAACTTCTGACCTCTCTAAACCCCGTCAAACCATTCTGAATGGGCAAAGTTTTAAGGTTATTCATGTTCTAAAACTATTTTTTATTTTATATATATATTACGTGTCTATGCATATTCACGCAAAGCAAAAACCAATCTTACTTGCAGGATGAATTTTCCATGGAATATGAACAAAAGCGCAAGGATGTCAGGGAATTATTGAAATCAGAGGAATCAGAAAATCAAATAGAAAGCTTAATGTTGGTGGATGCCATCCAGCGACTAGGTGTTGACTACCATTTTCAGGAAGAGATTGAAGCAGTTCTTCAGCGACATTATATGGAAGCCACCACTTCTTTTGATGGATACTCCAATTACAGTCTTCATGATCTTTCACTTTTCTTCAGACTCTTGAGAGAACGTGGTTTTTTCATTCCCGCAGGTTGAAAATTTTTTCCTTTGTTTTGTGCTTGTTTTTTGAGCAAACAATGGTTATTGGTAATTAATTGCATGCCACAGACATATTCAACAAATTCAAGGGAAAAGATGGGGTGTTTGAAGGGAAATTAAAGGAAGATATTAGAGGATTGATGGAATTGTATGAAGCTGCTCAGCTAGT